TACAAAATCACCACCGTGTTCAGCCACGCGCAGACGGTGGTGCTGTGTGTGGGCTGCTCCACCGTCCTGTGCCAGCCGACAGGAGGAAAAGCAAGGCTCACAGAAGGTGAGCCGCTGCGCGGTGTCGTCACTTTGTCGCGAGCTTTAGAGGGAGGGTCGTGCTTTCCTTGCTTGAAAGTCGACTCCATCTACCCGCCTCGTCCCGGAAAAGTTTCGGGAACCTCATGTTCCTTCTTAGTCTCGGACACTCCAGTTTAGAGCGGGGACGACGGGGGATGAGGCGCAACACGGGAGCTAGCGACTGCGAGCTCCCCGCGGGACGTCCGAGGAGAGCCAGTGGGGCGCAGCGGCAACTACAGCAACTACGCTGCCGTCCGGTAACCTCTGAACCTTTTCCTTGCAGGATGCTCCTTCAGACGGAAGCAGCACTGAACGCACCCTGAGTCAACATGAGTGGGGAACTATCCCAATAAACAGATTTTGGATACGTTCTGTTTATTGTCTTGGTTTTACTGCTAGGAAGTTCCTATCTCAAGTATTGAGGGACAACCAGAAGAGTGGACTGCTGAGAGTTATTTGGGGCAAGTAAGTGACCAAGCACTTAAAGGGTCCCTTTGGGACCTTTCTATCCAGCTGGGCTCATTTGAGTCCATGTTAAGAGCTTGATGAAAATCTGAGATACTGTATATGAGGCATTTCTTTCACTTTTGTATTTTCTTAGAATTCGGAACCAGCAGTCGATCTCTAAAAGACAGCCCAGGGGCGGCTGGGTGGCTCAGTCAGTTAAGCATCTGAGTCTTGATCTTGACTCGGTCCTGATCGCGTGGATCCAAGGCTGGCATCAGGCCCCTTGCTGTCAGCATGGAGCCTGCTTGGGATTCTCTCCTCTCTCTGCTCCTCCCACCGTTCACTTTTGCAGGCATGCGTGCTCTCTCAAAATAAACTATTAAGAAAACCCAGTCCGACACACGTTAGTGTAGAATAGCTTAAAACTTTTTATAATTCTCAGAAGCCTCGTTTGGGGGCTTATGGCTCCTGGTCTAGGGCTAGAAATCTCCAGTCGTCTACAGTTCAGGGGACGTGTCCAAGTGGACGTTCGTGCCTTACACTCCACAGCCAACGTTGTAGCCGATTCTGGACCGGTGGGGACTGTGGACTCGTGAAAGGTGGGGGAGAACGTGTGGGGGCAAAACCTAGAAATAAAGCGGGAAGAGAGATGAATAAACATGGATATTTGAGCTTTTCAAAGGTGAGGGCGCTGATTGTTTACCTGGTTGTGGTGTTCCTAGGGTTGGTACGTAAACCACTGGAACTGTCTGTATCTTGTTTAAGAAGGCATTGTATGCTAGAAAAAGAACAAGGGAGAGAGAGGTCACCAGAGGCAGATCTGTTTTTGTTGGAAAAAGACCCTACTAAGCAAGTTTAACTCAAAATATTTAAGTACTTCTACAAAAAGTTAATAATGCTTTAAGTTAACTTAAGAGCATAGGAACTTTTCATTCCAGTGATTTTAGAAGTATTTCAATTTAGGGGTGCTCGGGTGGCTCAGTCATTCAAGTGTCCACCTCTTGATTTTGGCTCAGGTCATCTGGTTTCGTGGATTTGAGCCCCAAGGTGGGCTCCACACTGACAGTGCAGAGCCTGCTTGGGATTCTCCGCCTCTGTCTTCTCTCTCTGCGCCCCCCCCCCCCCCCCCCCCCCCCGCCTCGTGCACACGCGTGTACGCACTCTTTCTCAGAAGTTTCAACTTTAAAAAGGTGAGAGGAAAATGCAGGTATAGACAATAGCGTGTTAAGTTTCTGTTTCATCTAGAATAGCTTTGAATTTGAGCAAAATGAGCCGTTTTCTCCAGGTTCAGCAGTGGTTTCCACTTCTGGGTCGGGTGTGTCACATGCAGTTTACTGCTTCTTGGTGGGAAGTTGAGCAGGACCTCCCATCCGCTAGGTGACTAGCGCTGAGAAGGCTGAATGAGTTGCAACTGCTTGTCATGAGTGACGTGATAAGCAGCTGATTTTTATTCTCGATAGTTGGTGAAATTAAATAAAGGCAGTTTTTTTTTTAAGTCAAAAGTCCACGGTGCTGAATGTAAGGGCTCCTTACCTAGAAAAACAAAAGCCGTTGATGCTAGCACTGCAAAGAGGGTAAAGAGGATGGTCTGGTGAGAACCCAGGAACTTCTGGAGGACACTGGAATCTTCACATTGATCTGTGCGTTGGTCAGAACAAAACAAGGTCACAGTTAAAAGCATTCAAGGCAGGTTGCTGTACTTAACGTGTGGTCATGGGTATCCAGCAGAAGCTCTCAAAAAGGAGGGAAGTTGTGTACTTGGCTCCTCTACCTGTTTTTGGCTTGCTCCTGTCTCCTAGGTAATAAATGGCAATCCATGAACCTTGTAATTTCTCCACTTACAAACGGGCATTTAAATACTCTGCTACCTTAAATGTCCGTTAACCTTTTCTGTGTACTTTAACTCCAAGCGACTTGCTTCTCTTCACCAGGTTTGTGGTGGTGGCGACTGAACTTGTAGGTTTTTTTTTTTTAATTAACGTTTATTTACTTTTGAGGGAAAGAGATAGAGGCATGAGCAGGGGAGGGGCTGAGAGAGAGGGAGACAAAGAAACCAAAGCAGGCTCCAGGCTCTGAGCTGTCAGAACAGACCCTGGGGCTTGAACGTGAGATCATGACCTGAGCTGAAGTTGGACACTTAACCGACTGAGCCACCCAGGCGCCCCTGAACTTGTAGTTCTGATCCCTCTAACTTGAAACCTCTCTTTGCATCACCAACCACCTCTTAAATCCCATGGGTCCCCTTGTCCTTTTTTACTCAGGATCTTTCTAGGGAACATTCTGGTTTGTCCCCAATAAAACCTGTTTTTGAAGCACACTTGGCATCTGACTTTGGTTATTTCAAATTCTTCAGCGTCCACAAATGAACTCCTACCCCAACAAACTCCCTGAACTTTAGGTCTTCTCTACCTGGTTCTTATTTTGCATCCCTGGTATAAGGCCCTCTAACCTCTGGACTTGTAACTGGTCTTCCCTCTCCTGGGACTTTCAGAACTGTGTGCAAACCGCTTCTCTCCGAAGAACAATTACATTGCCTTAAATATAGATGCACTAAAACCAAAATTCTCTATACTAACTCTTGATCAGTTCCCACTGTTGAAAGCTTTTGGCTTGCAATGTTTACAGGGTAAGAGTCCAGATAAAACTTGGGTGACATTTAACAGCCTTTCTAGTGCCTCTTTGCTCTGGCTACCCCAAACTGTCTCCCCAATCAGGCTCTGTCTTAACTCTGATTTCTGCAGTAGGTACCATGCCTGGCATATACCCGTGGGCACTCAAATACTTGTGTGAATGAGCTGAAGGCTGGGTTGGATCTTTGACCACTCCTACCCACCTCCGAGGTTGTGTTAGTCCCACTGGTCCCTCTGGTCTCTCAGAAATGCAGGGGTTCTTAACCATTGTGCTGTGCACAACTTGGCCTGTGGATCCTATCAGAATGTTTTCAAATGCAAAAAAGCAAAATATGTAGGAATAAAGGAAACCAATTATGGGACACCTGGGTGGAGCGTCTCCTGCAGCTCTCCTGCAGCTCGGGCCATGTGGAGCCCCACTTCAGGCTCTGCTGACAGCTCAAACCTTAGCCTGTTTCAGATTCTGTGTCTCCCTCTCTGCCCGCCCCCCCCCCCATTCTCTCTCCCTCACTCTCTCAAAAATAAACATTAAAAAAGAAACCAATTATATCAAAGTTAACCAAGGTGGAAAAAACTTTTGTAACAGCAATGTTAAACACTTAACAAAAACGTTAAAACACGCCTTTTGGTAATATAATAACATGCTCCAGCAACAAGAAAGATCTAACCTCAGACCTAATAACTAATTTTTATGTAATTTTGAAGAGAAGTTTAATAATTGGAACATGACAATATCTGAATTCTGTTGGTGACAAAGTCACACGTACTGCTGTTACTGTGGTCTGTTGCCTATATTCATAAAGTCAGTAGAAATACTAACTTTCAGTTAGAAGTTCATTGAAAATAAAGGTGCAGTATTTCCCCCCATTGAAGGTCATCGGCACCTTGAATTCCATCCATGGGCTTTTGCAGACACCCATTAACTCTAGATTTAGAAACAACAAGATAACACAGGTTAGAGTTGAGAATTGTTTCTAGTGCTGGGAACTTGAACATCTCCATTTCCTCAACTCTTAAAGGGAAAAACATTCACCTCAGAGTTATGAGAGAGTAAAATGCATATAAAATGCACTTCGGACATGACCAGTACATCTCAGGTGCTTGCCGAAACAGACCTTCCTTCCACTGGAGTTGAACTAGGTAGGGTCCAGTCCAATTCACGCCCAGTAATTCAAAGACCAGTTTCTCCGGAGGGATATGCAAGTAGAGGTGACGATACAAGGAGGATGATTCTTTGGCTTTCCTAACACTTTTCAATGACTACATGTGTTCCCATCCCAGCCATACCTGGCACAGTTTCCAAACTGGGTAACGGCTAGAATCAGCATTTTGGAAAGCTAAGACTTCTAGGTTTATCATCCTTTGTCTCTTGCCTGATGCAAAAAGATCTGCCAGCAACTTTTGAAGAAACATTTAACAGCGCGGAGAAGCTCATGTTAAACTGACATAACTACTCTTCACTACGTAAGTTACATACAACATCTCTCGGTGATAAGTAAGCTGCGCGAAGGTTCTATTTTGTGTAGATTTGGAAATTAAAGATCCGTGCCCCAGGTGTTTGAGTAATCTTGCTCAGGTGGCTGAATGTTTCTTATGAACTAAAGTAAGAAACACTTAGATGGTCCCAACTCCTCTGGATTGTAAGCAGGGCCCCCCAGTGCTCACCTGCACCAGACTTCTCCTTCAGAGCTCTCACTACCACAGCCTCACTTTGACTGGTGAGCACACAGCAAATGTTGATGAAAACGGGTGACGTCTGCTGGAGGGAGGTGAAGTTGACCACTCTCACGGAGTAGACCACCAGGCCAGGTGTGAGGGAAGAGTGCCTGTGGCCAGAGACCACTAGAACTGGGGAGCTGGGGAAGACCTTGGAGAAAAGATAAAATGGCACTTGACAGAAGAATATCAGTTTTGTGTCAGTATTGCATTCCAGTCTTACACATACAGTAAGAGCCCTGTATTCCTAGTTAGCAATCTGGCAGTAAGTCGTCTGCTTTTTTTTTTTAATTTTTTTGTTGAATGTTTTACTTTGAGAGGGAGAGAGTGTGAATGGGGGAGGGGCAGAGAGCGAGGGAGACACAGAATGTGAAGCAGGCTCCAGGCTCTGGGCTGTCAGCACAGAGCTTGACGCGGGGCTCGAACTCACAAACGGTGAGATCACGACCTGAGCCGAAGTCGGACGCCCAACTGGCTGAGCCACCCAGGTGCCCCAGTCGTCTGCTTTTTCATTCAGGTGTGTTACAGTAGATGAGGGAAGAAAATAAACTGTGAGAAAATAGCCTTCAAACAAGTTT